AATAGCCTGGCTAGGGTTTTCCCTTCTCTGCATGTGGCCTCCCGCCTCCCCCGGGGCCGGTGGACACAGGTTGCCCTTTTGCTTTCTTTCATTCATTAATCACACACAGTGTCTCCAGATGCTGGACCGGAGCCTCAAAGTCCTCTGCAGTGGGACTGAGCTGGAGGGATTTGTGCCCATGACAGATGGCTTTTTTTTTTCACCTGGACTTTTCTTTTCTTTTTTCTTTTTTTTGAGATAGGGTCCGGTTATGTAGTTCATGCTGGACTTGCATGTGAGGCATTCCTCCTGCCTCAGCTTTCCGAGTGCTGGGCTTACAGGTGTGTGCCAGAGTGCTCAGCTTCCCCCTTTAAGGGACACTGAAAAGCCACATGGTCCCTGCAGTCACTCACACCACAGGATGCAGCAGGCAGCGAGGGACAGACAAGACATCGAAATGCCTGGGCTCTCAGCCCCCCTCCCCTGTGTTCCAGCTTCATGACTTGAGTTGCTGCTTCTCCTCAGAGAGTTGGGACGTTGTTATGGGCTGGATCGGGTCCCCTCCCACCAACTTCCTCAGTTGAAGGCCTTCCCTGAGGACTTCAGGCTATGAATCTGGAGACAGGGCTGTTAGAAAGGTGACTGAGTTCAAACTAGGCCATTGGGGTGGCCCAGGTTCAATCTGACTGCTGTCCTTCCAAGAAGAAATCTGGGAACAGAGACACCAGGATGCCCATGGAGAGGACGCGCTGACTCGGAGAGAAGAGGCCCCTGGGGCCACCAAGCCTGTCGCCCCTTTACCTTGGGCTTCCTGCCTGCAGGGCAGCCATGGTGGACAGGGATGAACACCACCCCTGCCTGCCTGCAGCCCACGGGTGAGGATCCTCTGCAGGCGAAAGTGTTGGGGATCAGAAGGTAAATACAGTTCTCCTCCATTCCTTTTTATTCCATTAAGGAGAAAATCTCATTTGGCTGAGGTACATTTTTAACACCTTGCTAATACTGATAACTCTCCCTTAAAAAAAAAAAGAGATAAAACTCAAATGACATAAAATTAACCATGAACTGTTATAAAGGGTGTTTTTCCTGTAGCACTGAGTGTATTCACCGCATTGTGTGCCTGTCACCTCTGGCTGGTTCTAAGATACTCCAGGACCCCCACAGGAAGCACTGTTCACATGAAGCAGCCACTCCACATGCCGCCCCCTACGCCTGCCCCCTCTCCTCCAGGCCTGGCCACCACTACTTCGCCTTCTGTCTCTGGATTTTCTTATTCTGAGCATTTCACAGAAATACATTTATGGCACAGATGACCTCGGGCGTCTGGCTTCTTCCACTTGGCCTAGCTGTGCCCAGGCTCCTCCACACAGTGGCAGGAGATAGTACTTCATTCCTTTTTGATGACCGAGTAGTAGTCCACTGCATGGATAGAGCCTATCATTTTATTCCTGCTGCCTCTGATGGACATTTGGGTCGCTTCTATCTTTTGGCTCTTTTGAACTGTGCTGCTATGAGCTTTAGTGTGCAAGTACTTGGGTATGTTTTCATTCCTTTGGAGAATTTACCTAATAGTAGAATTCCTGGATCATTGTACCTCTATGTTTAAAATCTTCAAGAACAGAACTATTTCTTTTTTATTTGTCTGTTTGTTTGTATCAGGGATTGAATTCTGGTCCTTGTGCTTGTGAGGCAGATGGAGAAACCACTGAGCTAAATCCCCAGCCCCTAGAACTCTCTTTTTAATGAAACATTCAAACATTCACAGACAAGAGCCCTCAGCAGGCCTTTGAAGACCTCCCATGCCAAGGATGGGACCTGGGGCCTTGAGCATTCCAGGCAAGCACTCTGCCACTGAGCTATGTTCCAGCCTCAAAGACTTTGATTTTTAGTGGCATTTATGTCTACAGGATCAGAAAACCCAATTCTGGATTTTTGTCCAGAGCAACAACATGCATTTTTCTTTTAAAATAAAATTTACTTAAAAAAGAAAGTGGATGAAAGTCTATGGCATAAATAGGTAAGAACATTAAGAAGGTGAGGCCCAGTAGGTAGGTGGTTAGGTAGGTGAGCACTTTTGTCTATTTTATTCCCGTGTTCATTTTATTCCTATTTGTCTATTTGTTGATTTTATTATTTTGTCTGTTTATTCCTTCTTGCCAGTTCCTCAAATGATGCCAGGCACCTTTATTAGGTTCTCCAACAAAAGACCATGTATAGCATACTGATGTACAGTGGTCTCTGTACACAATCGTCAGTGGGATGTGCAAGGGGTGACTGAGGGCCAGGGATTTAACTCAGTGGTGCCGCCGTCTGTCTGTCTCGCAAGCACAAGGTTCCGAGTTTGATCCCCTGTACAAAAAAAGGTGATTGAGAACCCTCACCACTTGTTACTCAGACCTCATTTGTTACCTTCCCCAAACCTCAGTTTTCTCATATGGAAAGTGGAGGCGTTGGGGGAGTTAAGCGTGCTGGTGTGTGCAGTGCCTTCTTCGAAGGTTAAAGACTGTCCCTGTCGTTACCACTGTCAGCTGCGGCAGGGAGGATCACGGGAAAGGGGAGACTGCAGGAACGGGGAGGAAGGCCGGAAGAGCGCCAGGCCTGGGGATCTGCATTTTCATTTCCGCGGGGGCTCTTCATGCTGCCGCGTTCTGCAGACTTCCTGCTCTAGGTTCAGAAGCTGCTTGTAGAGTGGACACATTTGTTTGAATCTTGAAAAGACAGATCCATCCACCCCTAGTTGGAAAAGGCTGGGACAGGGCTCAGGAAACCAGGTCCTAGCTGGCTGCCCTTAAGGACGCGGGGTCAGCTGCAGGTGGCAGAGGAGCACCCCCGTCCCGAGTCATCACTGAAATCCACCTTGCCCCTCTCCCTGTCACACTGGGTCTGCACAAAGCTCACTCCTCTGCGTGTCCCTCCCACGTCCCACAGACCCCAACCTCCCCACATGCCCAGCAGAGCGAGCTGGGTCAAGTGGATAGAGGTTGCAGGGCTCAGCGGGGGACCTGGGACTTGTGTCCTCGGGGAGAGGAAAAGCCGCCACACTCAGGCCAGCTCCATCGCTTCCGAGGGTCCACGGAAGCAGGGAGACAGTGAGTGTCCCGTGGTGGCCCTCGGGTCCTCGGCGCGGTGACTGACTGGAGAGCCTTGAAGAGCGGGTCTTCCGAGAGATGTGGGGTTGATTACACTTCTCCATGACTCTGCGGCTTTCCCCAGCTCTGCCCTCTTGAAAAACACTTCCTGCCAATCTTGCTGTCCACTTAAGTGGCCTTTCATGTATCTCTCTTGCTGCCGGTCTGTGAGATTTTCAATAACCTCGCCCGTGTCTGCTCAGAGCAACCTGGCAGGAGGGCCCCATCCCACCACCACACACGTGCATGTGCACACACCACACACACCACACATGCAGTTGGGCACAGGCTGCAGGCTGTCACCACCTAAGGCCTCACATCACCGAATGCTGGTCCCTTTGTTCCATCCGGGTCAGCTCCATTGCCTTTGGGGGTGGCCCCCTCCCCACTCTTTTGAGAGCCCCACGGAGGATACCCACTTGGCTTTGTCCCTCCAGCAGGGTGGGCAGCAGTGTGCCCTGGGGACTCTCCCAAGCTTCCAGGCCAAGTCTCACCTGCTGGCCTCAGGCCCTCCCTCCCACCTGGGCCTGGGTAGGAGGATGGGACCTTCAGGGACAGGCTGGAGGTGCTACCCTGGGGCTGGGTCTCTGGGAGCACGAATGAAAATGGGCAACTGTGGGTGGCTGGACTTCTTCCACCACCAGGACAGCAGGGTATGGGGACACAGCTGTGCCCAGTTTCAGTGGCATTCTACGCAGAGCTAAGTGCAAGATGGGCCTTTCAACAGTGTGGAGGTGACCCCTCCCCTCTCCTGGCCTCAGTTTACTCATCTGGGCAGGGCACAGATCTTGTTATTATTCTGCTGGTGGAATAGCTATTTAGGAGCTATTCATGCTACCTGAAAACCAAGCCACGGCCACCGTCAGCTCTGGAGTTCTGGGTAGACAAGTTGTCCAGTACCTCACTTTGTGCTGGGCCTGCTTGGGCGCTGTTTGAAATGTAGATCTGATCACTGGGCAGGTTTGTTGAAGCCAGTAGACCAAGGGACTAATGCTATGGATGAGAATGTTAGTCAGAGGTTTAAAGAGTGGGTGGGGCTATACCATGAAGGGCCGTGCACGCGTTTGGGTAACACCAGAGTCCCCCAGGGTGGGGCAAGGGGGAAGCTGGTGGGGAACCTCCACTGTGACTTCCATGGGGAAGAGGGAGTGGCAGAGGCAGGGCAGGCAGGCTCAGAGCAGTCTGGTCTGCAGGGAGGAGCTTCCCGAGTCTGGCTCTGGCCTGGGGATGGTTGGGGCAGTGGGAGTGGGGTCTGGGTGGATGATTCGCTCTTTTGCAGATGGTTTGCTATCTCTAGAAATTAGGTAGGCAGGTAGTTGTCATCAGAATACACAAAAAACAGTGGAGACAAAGAAATATGTGCTGTGTCCACTTTTTAATTATTGTGCTAATTATAGCCTAATTAATAGACTTTTACTTTTTAGAGCAGTTTTAAGCCTACAGTAGAAAAATTAAGCAGAAAGTATAAAGAGTTCTCATCTTCCCTTCTCCCAAGCATACACACATTAATATCTTGCATTAGTGTGGTATGCTCCTTTCCACAGAACCAATTTTCGTAGATAAACTGTAGTCCATCGTTTGGGGTTCACGCTGTGTTCTACGTTCTATTGGTTTTCACAAATGCATAATGTCAGGTGCCCACCCTCATTACAACGTCGTACAGAATCATTTCTCTAGCCCCACCCTCCCCCCAACCCCTGAAAGTCACCGATTTTTTTTTTTTTTCTTTACGGTACTAGAGATTAAATCCAGAGTCTTCACACTGAGCCCCACCCCTGACCTTCACAATTTTTCCTCTGTTTCAATACAGGATGTCTCTGAGTCACCGAGCTGCCCAGGCTGGGCTTGAACTTTCAACCTTCCTGCCTTAGACACTTAGAGTGCTAGGACTGCACCTCCCACACCCAGCTCACCATTGAACTTCTGGTGCCTTAGTTGGGGTGAGACAGTATGTAGTCTTCAAACTGGCTTCTTTCACTGAACAATATACTTTAAAGGTCTCTCTTTGCTTTGCTAGCTCGTTTCTTGTTATCCCTGAATGATATTCCATTGCCTAGATGCTCCCCAATTTGAATGCAATGTTTATCCGTTGTGATTATGTTTTGAAGAATGGCGAGGCTCTGGTGGTGATGGCTGAGCTCCCAGCTGTGTTCTGGCAGCCTGGGTGGAGGTTTGGGGAGACAGTGAACTCTGGCGCTTCTCTGGGCCTGAGGTCGCATGGCGGAGGCAGAGGCGGGAGGGGATTTCTGGGCGTGAACCACTGTTTTAATTCTCCTCTTGGGCCTAGTGCAGATACTGCTGGCTGTCCCTGGCCCCTTTTGCAAAGGCCTCTGGAGCAGTGGTGGCCAGGCCTGCTCTGCTTTATCCCTGGGCCTGTGGGCAGCAAGATCCAAAGCTGACAGCCAGCAGCGGCTGAATGCTCTGTTCCCAGGAGAAAGTATCAGCGGCTGTGAGGAGTCAGACACCCCGGGGATGGTGCTGCTGGCCTGGACTGGGCTGGAAGGTTCTCGAGGTTCTTGGGGCAGCTGGGGCCAGGCTGCTGGGCTTCCTGGGTCTCCAGGGTGTGCTGTGGGCGGTGGTGGGCTCTGTGGTTCCCGCCCCCTGCACTGGTAGCCTGCTGCAGTTCTTTGCAGAATTATTTTTCTTTCCAGACTTAAACAAGGTCCACCCAGTGTCTGGGACATGGTTTGCTGCTCCTATGAAGGCTCCTGGCCAAGGCGGCTCCCAGATAGGGCGGCTGCCTCCTTCCCCTCTTAGCAGAGGCCAGGGCCTTTGGGATGGTGTGTGGGGTGTCCGTGCATGTGACTGCGGATGGGCCGAGCTTCGTCAGCCCTCCTCCCACAGCCAGGGAGCCGGGCCCCAAGGCCCCTGGGGAATCCACACTGCTGCCAGAGGTCAGTGCACTCCATGCCTTGTCCAGCTTGCTGCGGCCCGAAAGCTGCCTGCTCACGATGGCCTCTCTCTTGCCCTTGCTCCGGTAGTCTCAGAAGGGCTCCAGGTGGCTCCAAACACCAAGAGCCAGGAAGGCCCCATGGGAAAGGCGGCCCATTCCACCTTCTCGCTGGTACATCCTGCTTTGCTCTGGACCCCCAGAAGTTCCCTCAACTCCGGGAGCCCGCAGGAAAAGTATCTGCGGGAGGCTGCCGCACTCAGGTAGGAGGACGGCGTCCCTCCTTCACAGCTTGGGTGGATCCTCTTCTTCCAGGGAGGTGGCCGTGGTTCCCCACACACCCAGGTGTGCAGCAGGCGGCCCCAGAACAGGTGCAGCAAGCAGCTGGCATGGCCCGGTGATGCCGACGGATGCCCTGTGTTTGGCACTGAGGCAGTAGGAGAGGAAGTGAGGGGCAGGACCAGCTTCTGGGCCCTCCTGCCGTGCCTGTGTCCTGATACTCCTCCCTCCAACTCAGGTGCTGGCTCACATCCTCTGAGCATTCTGCCAGGGCCCGGAACCGCGGAAGGGACCAGGAAAGGGGCCCTCTCAGCTCTGCTTGCATCTTTTGGGGTCCCGTGGTGATCGAGCTCCCAGCTCCATCGTGGCGAGCAGTCCCCTGCTGTGCTCCATGCCCAGTGTGCCTGAGGCCCTGAGAAAATGAGGTGACAGCCCAGTGCTGGGTGCCGGAGAGGCGGCCTGGGCTGAAGGCCTCGTCTTCGTCGTGGATGGTGGGGACGGCTGCTCCGCCTGCCCCACAGCGTCTTGTGTCCACAACTCAGTGTCATGTGCTCTCTGGCAGCGACCTGCATCGGTTCCTGTGAGGCGGACAGAGAGGTCAGCTTTCAGCCACAATGAAGACATCAGGAAGTGGCTCTGCAGGGTTCGTGGCTCTCAGAGGCCCGAGGGGCATGGAGACTTTGATATCTTCTGTCCACTGTAAATTAGCCTGGGGGCAAAGCTGGAAGGCTGGGCCTCAGGATGCCTAGGGTCTTCTGCGACTGCCATGCTGTGTGTCCTAGGGGAAGTTGCCACCCCTCTCTGGGCTGGTGGTTAAACAGGGCTAGGGGGCTGGTGAGAGCTCCTCAGGCGCTTTCTGTAGAGCAACAGCCAGGTCCGGGACGGATAGGACAGCAGTGGTTAGGCTTGGGCGCACACTCTGAGATCTGATCCTGGGGCCGAGCGAGGCTCACACCCAGCCCACTGCAGGGTAGGCAATGAGGTGGGGATGTGGAGAAAGGCAGGCAGTGGCCAGGCCACAGCCGAGCCTGATACATGCGGCCATGCCGTGCTGCCAGTTACTCAGTTTGCTGTGAACAGGAGCACGCTCTCACCCTTGTAGTGAGATGTAAAGGAAAGTGGCAACATTACTGGCACGATTAATAGCCTGGGCGCTGTGCTCCTCTCTGTAGGTGTGCGTTTCCACTCACCCTCATCCTAACCCAAAGAAGTGGGACTGACATTAGCATCCTTCTATAGCCTGGAGACACTGAGGCACAGAGAGGTAACGGGACTTACCCAGAGCCACACAGCCAACAAGTGCAGAACAGTTTGAGTCCGGGCCTAGAGAAGCCAGAGTCCATGCTCTTCATCTCGAGGCCACACTGTCTTTGGCTGTAACAATAAAGGCCCGGAGCGGTGGTCACTAAATAGCTCTGCTCAGTGCTCTTCTGGAGAGCTGAACTTGGAGCCCAGCTGGCTGGGGCTGGTTGACTCCCAAGGAGGTCACTTGGAGCTCCACGCCTGGCCAGAGGAGAGCCGCCCCTCAGCCCCAGTCTCCCCTCTCCAGCATCCCAGCTTGGCTGGCATTCACTGCCCGGGCAGTGGGTAGGCCACCCGCAGGCATGAGGGCTGGCTCAGTGCCCAGCTCTCGGTGTCTCCCTGGTTTTGTGGAAGCCTTACAGAATTTCAGAGTGCAGGAAGAGGACACTAGTTGGCTGCAATCCCAGCATTCTGGGAGGCTGAGGCAGGAGGATCACCAGTTCAAGTCCAGCCTGGGCAACGTAGAGGGGCCCTGTTTTAAATTTTTTTTTCAATGAAAATGGCTGGGGCTGTGGCTCAGTGTGAAGGTGCTGGGTTCAGTCCCCATGGGGGGAAACTAGAATTTCCCCTTTACCCAAGCACTTTCTCAGGACTCCCTTTGCAGGACCCTTAGTCACGAAAAGGATTTGATTTTCAAAATTAGATACCAGCGTGGATGCTGTGGAGACAGGTTTTGTGTGGTAACAGAGGAGGCGAGGCCTGGGCCTCCGGGCAGGCAGGGGAGAGGGCGGCCCAGGGCCCCCCTGTGTGGGTGTGCTTGCGTGTGTGCTTGTGCGCGTGTGAGGGCTTCTGTCACCATTGCCAGGGTGGGCGTGCAAGGCGGCAGCAGCGTTCAAGGCCACGGGGCCTGGCGGAACAAAGCACGGGGGTTCTCTGCATGCAGGAGTCAAAAACAAATAAAACTGCAGCCCAGGCTATAAATAGACACAGGCTCAGCAGCCGCCAGCTCCTTCTCCCAGCCGAACAGCGGAACAGCGGCCCACGGCCAGCCTCGGCCCAGCCCAGTGTGTGGGGGGAGCCTGCTTTCCCCAGAGCAGGGCCTGGAACCCCTTCCCAGAGCAGCCAGGCTGCCTGGCGTGTGCCACACCCGCGACTCTCTCAGCCTGACCCTGGTCCTTATCTTCAAGGCGACCCAAACTTTGTGGGTCAGGGCAGATTCTCGGGCTCAGGTCAGCTGCTTGGTGGTGCTGGCCTCCGAAACGTTACCTGGGATCTCCCTGAAGGAGTGAATCTGTGTTCCTTACCCTCTGGCTCAGTCCTTTGCTCTCTGGGGTTGCACAGAATGTCCTGAGCTAACAGCATATCCTCTTCCCACAAATCCATCTTTCCCTCCCTCCTTTCCTCCTCATCCCCTTCCGCTCTCCCTCCCTTCCTTCTACCTTTTCACCAGTCTGCCCTTTCTTCCCCCCACCCACTCACCCTTGCACCCGCACATTGATGACCCACCTTGCTTGTTCCTCCATGCGGGATGCAGGTCTGGGCTGAGGTGCTTGGGGGCGCAGGAGCTGGGCCCTAGGACAGTCTGGCCCCTGCTGCAGCTCACCTGGAGGCTGGGGCTGAGGGCTGTGCTCTCCCCTGTCCCACCGGCAGACTGGCTGGGGAGCGGGAGGGGGACAGCGCTCCTGACCACATTGCTGCCCAACTCTGAAGTGTGTGTGGGTGCAGGGGGTTCATGAAGTCTGCATGGTTTCGGCGCAGACGGAGACCACATGGGGCAACGGGACACAGTGGCAATGATGGCAGCAGTACTGGCCGTGAGCGTCGCTTAGCAGATGCCTGCTGTGTGCCAGCACTGTGGAGAGCCACTGCGCCACAGTCTTCATTTAATCCTCTCCATGGTCTTGCTCTGCAGGACACGAGGGAGGATTCAGGAGGAGTAAGGCATTTGCGCTGGTCTGAAGCCAGAGCCTGGGGTAGGCCAGGCTCCACCCTCTTCACAACCTCAGTGATCTTGGCCAAGGCTCTTATCCTCTCTGAATGGCGTTTTCTTCATTGAAAAGGAAGGATTTGTCATGAAATCATGGACCTCTCTCCTTTGAAGGCCACAGGGTACATTTTAACGCTGGACCATCTTTATATGCTGGTGCTTTTGTTTTTAGAATTCACCGGCTAAAAAACTCACAGTGACAAAAAGCTACTTTGAATTCAGCAGCGGTTTAAAATCAATTTGTATTTGGTTATTTGCAAGCGCATGTATGTGCATTTGAAAAATAATCCTGACGTGGGCACTGTTTATTTAATGCGCACATTCAGGGTGGGCATGTGGATCTTGGTTATTGCATTAAGACCCTGCAGGACCCCTGCCCGATGGCTGGGTCTTACATTGTTCTTTCCCAGTCTGCATTCAGTAATCCACAGTGTGACCAGGTCCTGCTTGTGCCCTGTGCGAGAGCACAGGAAGAAGGGACGAGCAGCAGGACAGCGTGCAGAGAGACGCTGATCCACAGCATGTGTCGGAAATGGCAGGCAGGAGAGGTTGTGCAGCGGCCCCTGGATGGCTCCACCACATGGGCAGTGTCACGCGTGCCCCTCCCTCTGCTGTCACAGAAGCAGGTGGCTCAGCTCCACAGAGCACTTCATCAGGTGCTGGCTCTGCTGTCCTGGGGGAGGGTCCCCCAGGAGCACTGTGGCTCAGACATCAGCACCCACTCATTGCTGAGAAGCGGAGGGGTTGGCATGGCACCTGGGGGCTCCCCAGCCCCTGATGGAGGTGGGCAGTGGTGTAGGCTTGGGGAAGGGACCGGGCAGTGTTGCCAGGTGTAGGCTTGGCCAGGGACCTGGGGAGTCTGCCCACTTCTGCCTGGGCCTGGTTGGCACTGGGGACCCAGCAAACTAAGCCCTCGGGGACCCTCTGGGGTGACAGCCCCTCATTGAATCCAACCAGTTAATTAGGAAGAAGGGGAGGAGGGGAGGTGGCCTCCACCTTGGACTGTTCCTTGTCTTTGATGCCCATTCTCTCTGAGGTCCTCAAGCAGGAAGCACAAAAGCCTGGGAAACATGTCAGACCTTGTTTTGTCTTTGTTTTTATTTTTATTTATTTATTTATTTTGGTACCGGGGATTGAACTCAGGTCCTTGCACTTGCAAGGCAGGCCACCAAACTGCTGAGCTAAATCCCTGGCCCTGTCTTTGTTTTTAAAATCATTCCTTTCTGAGATTAGATTTGGGTTTACTGCATGCACCAGCATCTGGCCTCCCTGGGGAATGAACGTTGACTTTGCTCCTCCTCCTCCTCTATCGCCTCCTTCTCTGTGGCCTACTCTTCCCCTTCTCTGCCTCCCTGCAACACAGAGGGCATAGTTCATGATGCCACTGTGGGCAAAGGAGGCCCTGATGGTCCAGACTGTCCCCTAAGTCTGCAGAGGCCGCCTCTGGCTAGCAGCATGGGGAGGAGGCTGGGCCTGCACTGACATCCCGGAAGCTGCTCGTGAGCTGCAGTTTGACTTTGGGTCTTATGGACCATAGAGTGAAAGATTCAGGATCATGACAACATTGTGATAAGCAGGCTACAGCTTTGCTTTTAGAGATGCCACACCGATCCCCAGGGCCGCCTGAGCACGGGCTGACCCTCTTCCTCAGGCTAGGTCAGCCCCACAGTGGTTACCCCTGGTCTCTTTCCTTCTTGCTTGTCTCACAATTGCCGTTATTTTTCTCTATATGTGTGGATACATCTCCCACCCTGGAGATAAGTGTCATGAGGGAAACGTTCATGTCTGCAGCTCTCCAGGGTGAGTTTAAAGACTGGATGTTTGGGTGGTTGGTTGGATGGATAGGTGGATGGTTGGAGGGGTGGAGGGGTGCACGGATGATAGGTGGATAGATAAGTGGGTAGTGGATGGTCGGTGGGGAAGTGGACGGGTGAGTGGGTGGACAGACGGTTAGGTAGAAGTTTGGGTGGGCGAGACAGTGAGTGGGTGGATGGATGGGTGGGCGGGCAGGTGGGTAGATAACGAATCAGTGATCACGGGATGGATGGATGGATGGGTAGACTGATGGATAAGGAAACAGGCAGATGGCTTACTGGATAGAGGGCTGGCTGGCTAGAGAGGTACAAGGAAGGAAAGAGATGGATAAGTGAGCTACGAGACTCATTGTGGACCCAGTAAGATTAAGCCTGGAGGGAAAGAACCTCATGTCTTCACTTTAAAATGGTTCTTATTAGTGGTAAAAGGAATAAGACTTAGAGTCTAGTGGAGGATGTAAGAAACCCACTCTGAAAATCAACGGGTATGTTTGGAACTGACCTGAAATGTATATATGTATCTAGATGAATGCCAGAATACCCAGGTACCACAGGGGTGGAGTTCTCTCTACTGAGGTAGGTTTCTGGGAGCAAGGAGGTGAGGACAGCCGCTCTGGGGAGGCCCAGGGCTGCCTTTGACGGGATCGACAGCTGAGGAGAACTTGCAGGTGAAGGTTCATCAGCCAGTGCTCTGGAGGAATGAGGGTGATAAAGACTGGCAGAAGGGGTATTTTCAGACTTCTGGGGTTAGGATAGGAAAAGCCTCTTCGCTTCCATGGGGGCCCATGCCCTGGAGAACAGTTAGCTGTTGCTTTTCCATGGGAGGAGTAGCCAAGCAGTGGCAGCCATTTTTAATCTACCACATCAAGCCACTCTTGAGCTAGGCTGGTTTGGAAAGGATGGAGTCCTTGGGACTCTACTGGGCCTTGAAAATTTATCCTCTATGCAGAATCCCTTTCCTTCGTGCTACTAAAATTATGTAGCTATGATGCAAATTTGCTGTGCAAATTGGATGCCCCTACTCTCCCAAGCCTTTGGGAACTGTTGAGACACAGTGACGTCCACACTGCAGGGGCCTCTGTGTTGATGCAGGACCTCTCCTCAGGCAGTTGGTTCTGTGCCTCTCCTGCCATGCCTAGAGATCCTGGGCCCCTCACATGTCTCTGTCTGGCCTCTGCCTACCACTACCGACTGCCACCGTGGCAGTCTGAAAGCCGGTCCACAGGGTCAGGGAGAGGAGGGCTGCTCCTGGGAACAGGGAAGTCAGCTGGCCTTGGGGACCCTGAGGCACAAGCTCCTCTGCTAATGAGACTCAGGCCAGGGCGGGTCCCCTGGGCCCTAGGACAGGAAGTCCTTCTGTTTGCTGGTGACTCACTAGCGGCCTCCTCACGGAGATACCAACCTGAGGCCGCTATCACAGTCCAGGGATGTGGGATTGTTCCCTGGTCACTTCACAGCTCCGCAGCCTGGGGAGTTTTCAGTCTAAGAATATTCCCCGCCCTACGTGATTCCTTAAGGCAGCCGCTGGCCTGCTCAGGAGGCCATGCTTAGGATCATCACTGCCATTATCATTATTGAGATGAATAATGATGAACACAACTTCCACTGGGAGCCCCCACACCCCAGGTTGGTGGAAGCCCACAGAGATCCCTTTTTAGGATGGCAGGAGCACATCCCATGCCCCTGCAGCCCAGAGGTCTCTAGGGTACCCGTATCCTACACTCTCCCAATCTGTAGATGGTGGAGTGGGCAGGGATGGTCCTTGTCACCAGAGGAATCCTGACCCTTTGCAGGAAGGGCCACAGGGTCTGGAAACATCAACCACAGCACCGGGCCAGAGCTTAGCTGGCACCAACCTTGGGCTGGCTGGGCTCCTTTGAGCTGGCTGTCCTTGTGAGGCTGGATGTCCTGGGCCAGGGGCTCTTCCTTGTCAGCCCCATTGCCTGGTCTTGCCATAGATTGGCAGGGTGGCCGGGACTGCAGTTGCAGGGGACAGCGGACAACAGGAGCGAGAGGGCGATTCTGAGGCCGGGATAGAGGGGTCTTCCACAGGGCCGCTGGCCATCCTCACAGCCATTGAACCGGGAGGCACGGTCTGGACAGGTCCTTTGTAGACTTTCTTCTCGTCCACAGCCGCCCACCCTCTGTCACCCACCTCGCACTCTGGAGACCCGAGAGCTGGGTTTGTGTCGGGCAGGGCAGGCTTGGGTACGTATAGGCACACACGTGCACACACACACTTAGCTACACACGGATGGTCTTGGCAGACAGAGGAAGAGAAGTAGGGACAGACAGAGGAGGAGGGGCCTGGAGGGAGGCAGGAGGGCGTGAAAAGGAGTGGCAGGGAGAGAGAGAGAGAGAGAGAGAGAGAGAGAGAGAGAGAGAGAGCATCTGAGAAGGATGGAATCGGAGGACAGGACAGAGAGGAGCAGTCGCTGGTGCAGCTCTGCCCTCCCAGTCAAGCCTATCTGCGGGGCATTTCTCACAGAAGACCCCTGATGTCATGAGGGGCCACTCCATACTCTTATCAAATGGGAAGGCAGAAGAGCCGGAAATTTAGCTCAGTGGTTCTGCTGTCTGCCTAGCGAGCACAAGGACCCGCATTCAATCCTTGGTACAACACACACACACACACACGCACACACACGCACACACACGCACACACACACGCACACACACACACACACACACACGCACACACAAATGGACACTCCAGTGGGAAGGCAGGTTCTTCAAGTCCACCAGGCATGTGTCCCCAGGCCAGCCTTGTACTCAGCATTTCAGGGAACAGAAAAAGAGGGATTAAAAAAAACCCAGTTCCACAAGCAGATCTAACTTTGACACCCCAACCTCACACTGAGTCACACTGAGAAGGCGGGAGGCTCAACAGAGACCTCGCTCCTCAACACGGATCTGGCAAGTCCTGAACCAAGCATTGGCAGGTCAGACTCAGCAAATGGAGAGGAGAGGGAGGCCTCACGACCAAGCTGAGCTTACTCTGGAAGGGGGAGATGGCCTGAGAACTGACATACCTGTGCAATTCATTGCACTGACAGAGTCTGGGAGAAAAGCCACCTCCTAGGGGCCGAGAGGACGCCTGTCATCTACGTCCACAGCCACATCACTGACTAGGGTTAGCGCCTGGAATCCGGGGGGAACTACAAGGTCGGTGTGGGAGAGACAGATGGCACGTGTAGAAAAGTTAGTCGTTACAGAAATACAAACTGAAACGCAGCTTTGACTACACGGAACGGAGTGGCCAGAGTCACAGGAGCTGACGTCGGAGGGGCGGGAGAAGTTTCCAGTGCTTTGGGGAATATTCCTAGGAGTGGAACCCCTGGGTTGCACGGGGATTTTATGATGAACTTTGAGGAATTGCCAAAACTTTTTGCACAGCAGCTGAAACTTTCTACATCTCCACCAGCCGTGTGCCCATGTTCCAATTAATCTACTTGTGCAGGACATGTGAGGGTTTGTCATCGTTGTTTTTAATTGACAACCCTCCTGGAGGGTGTGAGGTAAGCTCCCCGGGTGGTTTTGCTTGCGTTTTCCTGATGAGTAATGGCAGTGAGCATCTTTTCACGAGGTGTTGGCCTTTTGCTATCTCTACTTCAGCCCTTTGCCCATTTTTGTGATCAGGCTCTGAGGGGGCGTGGTAAGCTGTGTGAGGTCTCAGTTTCCGCACTTTGACATGGGACACACAGTGGCATGTCCCTGTGGAAGAGTGGCCAACCGTCCTGGTTTTAGCACTAGAAGCTCTGCGTTCCCAAAGTGGGACAGTTGGTCAGCCTCCCTGGGCAGAAGGAGATGGGCATGGAGGGCCTTTGGTCCGCCTCTCAGCCCAGAGTCCCTGTTCAGGGAATGGCAGCTGCTGTTCCTTACAATGCTAGAAAGTTTGCGCTCATGGTGGTGGGATCTGAATGTGAAAATCCGAAGGCGGAAATAAGTCACCAGCAGCCTACAATGTAACAGATTTTCTAGGATTTTTCAACTCTATTTAGGTGCTAGAACCTCGAGCATGGTCATATGTGCAGGAGAAGGGGGAAGTAACAATCACTATTTCATTACGAATGTTTACTGAGTGCTTATTACACAGGGGCTGCAGAAGGAGAAGCAGCGGGCACAGGAAGCAGGAGACAGCTGGTGGCAGAGGGTTTCTCAGAGGCAGGAGAACAGGACAGAAGGCATCTGGGCTGATGGGGAGGTTTCCAGGAATGAATCCTGGCTTGCGGGACCTGTCTCTCCTCCGGGTGGAGGGATTTCACAGCCGCAGTTCCAGACTGGGAGTGGCTGGCCCCAGAGCCTCCTGAAGCCCCAAGACTTTCCACCTCCTCTCCCCAGCTTCCTGCGGGCTCCTCCTCAGTCTGAGCCAAGCTCCTAAACCCTTATACTCAATCGCCCATTCAACCTTGTGCTGAGTGTCCCTGGGTCAGGCCTCGGCGGTCACTGTGCATCCTCCCACCAAAGTATCTGAGACTCCCTGAGAAGATCTGGAGTAGATGAACTTGACCACCAGGAACCTGGCAGGGTGAGGGCCCTGATGTCCAAGGAAGCACCCAGAGTGGGGTCGTTCCTGCTGGGAGGCACGGCATCCTGGAACCCAGGTCAGGACCAAAGCAGTGAAGCCTACAGATGCCCAGTGCAGCCCGTGGAAGCCCTTGCACCTCTCTTTCTGTCATGAGGACAATGCGTCTGAGCTGCCTGGTGGGGGATCCAGGCAGTTTGTTCAGGGAAAGTGGAGAAATAGCCTTGGGTCTCAAACTCCCAGGATGCAGGGTCCAGGCCCACCTGGTGTCCTTGGCTCAAGCTCAAGCACACACACAGATAGAGGCAGAGAGATACCAGGAGTCAGCTACCTTGTCTCCTGACACCCTTGCTGCCACTTAGCACCCTGGGGATCCTGAGCAAACCATGTTTTTCCTAAGGTTGGGCCAGAGCCTCTCAAAGTGCCAAATCCCCAAGGGCCCTCAGAAAGGCTGTGAAGGCCTGTCCCCAAGAGCCAGCCATTCCATGTGGAGCTTTTCCTTACGCAACACCAGCTCATAAGCTGCCGAGACGCCACTCACTGAACAAACTCAACCCCTCTGTTCTTTCAGCAAGTGTTTTCTGAAGACCAGTGATATGTCTGGAACTTTCCCGCAACTCTGCCATGCTGGGATACAGCAAATCCCTGCCCTCCCAGAGCTCAGCTTCTTCCAGATTGGATCTTCTCTGTGTGGCTCCGGACTACGAGGTCTGGGCCACTGCTTAAAAGTTACAGGGAGGTGGGCTTGGGTTAGATACCAGGAAGAACTCTCTAAGCGCTCGAGTGACATCAGAGTGGAAAGTGCTGCTGGAGGGGTAGGGAGCAATCGATTCCGGGAGGTGGTCAGAGGACGTGGAACACCTAGCCAACAGTGGTCAGTCTTTCTGGTCCTGCCGACTGATGTTCATGGCCGTGTGTGGTCGCCTCCTGGGTTAGCCTGGTTTCTGTTACAAAAAACCTGAGGCTAGGCAATGTATAGAAGAGATTTATTTAGCTCACAGTTTGGGGGTTGAATGTTTGAGACTGAGAGGCCCCATTTATTTGGCCTCTGCTGATGAGTCGTGGTAGGACAATGTATAAGAGAGAGGGGCCACAGGGTGTGACAGGAAACCAGAGCAAGACAGGGGTCCTGTGAGAAGTATGCTAATCCCTTCCCAGAGCATGTGCCCAATGACCTGCCACTAAGCTCCACCTTGTAAAGGTCCCACCTCCTCCACACGTGAACCTTTAAGGGACAAATGACATCCAAGCTGTAGCACCTCCTTTGAAATGTGAGTGGCACCTGGGATTTTAACCAACACAACCCGGCAAAGGCCATAGGATGTCACTCCAGCAATTACTGAGATTGTGACATCTGTCTTGCCTGGAGACTCTTCTCTAGCCGGCTCCTCTAGTGGCCATGCTGAGGAGGCCCTGCAGAGCAAGGGCAGAAGAAGGTGGCCTCTGGTCAACAGCTACCAAGAAACAGAGGCCCTTAGCGCAGCAGGCCCCAAGCGACAGAATGCCACTAACAACCATGTGGGCTGGAGGCAGATCCTTCTTCGGCTGAGCCTCAGACAAGACTGAATCCCGGCTTTGATCAAAGCCCTGACCTTGATCATAGCTCTCAGCTGAGATCCTACAGCAGCAGCCCCCAGCCAAGTCACCTCAGTCTCCTCCTAACCCACAGAGACCGTGAGATAACAGCTGTGTGTTCTTTGAAGCTGACGTTGTTGCCACCGGAGCCCGCTGGTGCCTGCTGGTAACCAAAACAAGATGTTGTTAAGGAACCATGTTCTCAGCCAGAAAACCAGGCTCTCTCTCTCCTATGGTGGGGATTGAACCCAGGTGAGTCTCCTAGAGTGGTATCTCCAGCTTCTTTCTGTTTTTAAATTAAATTTAAATTTTGAGCTGGGATCTTGCTAAGTTGCCTAGGATGGCCTTGAACTGCTTGAACGTGCAGTCCTCCTGCCTCAGCTTCCCAAGTAGCTGGAATTCCAGATGTGTGTGCACCATTATGTAGGCTCAGACTAGCTTTCTTCTAAAGTCCCCTCCCGGCCTGGAGAGTTCATGGCCATACCTTAACTCATTTTGTTCTGCCTTGTGCCTAGCGGGGACTCGTGGCACATCTGGGTATGGAAGCGTTGCCTTAGCCTGTGTTTGTGCCTCAGGGAAGCAGCCGGGGTGATCTACAAGCAGGCTGTGCCTGAGAACTGACTGGAAGCCAGAAGCCAGGTTGGGCTCCCTCCAGCTGCTCCCTCCCCCATGACTTTGGGCAAGGCTGTCTGGGCTCTGGGTACCTCATCAATCCATCATGGGACCTGCCCACCCACAGGTTTGAGCAGGTCAAATGAGCTAAGATCACGGCCACAGAGGTAAGGGATTGTTATTATTTGTTCTGAAATGCCACACGCATTCCTGCTGCTTGACTCCTGAGGCTCTGGGACTTGGGAGGGTTTCCCTTCCAAATAAGGCTTGTCTTGTGAGTCCCAGGACTCCGGGCCTGGACTGAAGGCTGTGCTGCTCCCACCTGTCCATGCTTCTCTCTCTGCAGAGAAACCACCAGCCCCTGAGCCCATGGATACCAGAGGGTGTCTGCTCCTCTGTGCTCGCTGTGCGGCTTGGCTTCGGTGCCAGGCAGAAAAAGGGCACGTTCTTCCCGAGTGCTGGTGGGGACCGTAGGCTTCTGAGACACGAGGCAGAGGCCGACGGGACAGGACAAGATCAGGGAAGTGGCCGACTTTCTCACTCGGACGCCAGCGGTCAGTACCTTTACACATTAGCCCTCCACTCTTCACGGCAAATCTCGGTTCAGATAAAAACTTCAGTTTCACTGCGGTGGTGAATTTGTTATAAAAGCTGTCAACACTGCGTTCTGCTCTTGAGTTGGAGCCCTCGTGACTTTCTGGGGGTGTCAGGCAGTCAGAGACTGGCAGGAAGGCACTAGACATGTGTTAGCTGTGATTTCTGTTGCTTTCATTAAATATGTAAGAGTTAGTGACCTTTTCACTTAGTTCTCCATTTTTAATACACTGAGTGACTGTTATAAGCAAGTTGTGTCTCAGGTTTACAATAATGAGCAAAATAGACAGAGTCTCTGTACTAACGGGGCACAAGTGCCACTGGGGGACAGATAAATATCCACATTGTCATCTGGCATCAAATGCTACCAAGAACAGTGAAGCTGAGAGAGGTGCGTGAAAGGCGAAAGTGGTTCTTTCAGGTCAGCCATTGACAGGCCATGGCCCATGGTAATCTGTGTTTATAAATAAAGTCTAATTGGGAACACAGCCCTGCTCCTCCAGTTATGCTCTGGGTGTGACCATTTTTGAGTTGGAGATTTGCCGCAGGCCGTGCGGGTTGCAAAGCTGAAAATATTTACCACCTGGCCCTTCATAGGAAGACGTTCACGGACACAGGTGGGCTGCATGGACAGGGAGGGTAAGGGAGAGGGTGAGCAGATGTTGTGAGTAAAGGTTGAGAAGAGGAAGCTGCAAGTTCAATGCTGAGGCAGGGGACGGTGCCAGGCAGGCGGGGTACAGCTGGGAGGCTGGAGGGAGCCAGCGAAGGGACCTTCAGGAGTCCGAGGCAGTCGTGCTGGAGCTGGACGTCTGTAGACCCTGGGGAGGGGGGCAGGGCCTGGGGGCGCGCGTGAGGCCTGTGCAGGGGGCGGGGTGCGGAATGTAGTAATCTGGCTGTCTTGAAACCCAGCAACACGTTGGGTGACGCATTAGTCAGCTTTGCTGAACGCTATACCACCCACACTGTAAAGGAGGAGGGTTTATTTGTCTTACAGTTTAGAGGATTCAGTCCATGGTTAACAGGCTCCGAGGAGTGAACCTCATGGTGGAAGGGTGTGGTGCAGCAAAAGCTGCTCAGCTCATGGCAGCCAGGAAGCAGAGCAGGGGAACAGTTTCAGAGAGGCGGGGAGCACACGCAGTACCCCAAGGCCGTGTTCTCATGAGCTACCTAGACACACCCGCGAGTGTGCTCTCATAATCTGCAAGGTGTTTCTTGAGCCAGTGAAGTTGAGCTATCAGGATTAACAGTCACAGGGGAAGGTGAGGAGGGGCTGATCTAGATGAACTTAGGAGGGAAGCCAACCAGGCTTTGCTGAGCCCCAAGAACACATGTGTGTCTGTCTTTGATGCCTGAGTGTTTGGCAGATGGATGAACGAACGAAGTGACTCCCCAGAGATCCTAGCACAGTGCCAAGAGAGCAGCCAACCACTCACTTGACCCTGGTTCTCTTTCCAGGGTCCTGCCTGGCACCAGATGAGTGCTAGCCTGGGGACACAGTGTCACCAGTCCCCTGGACTCCCAGTGGCCATCGAAATCAAGTCCACATCTCCCACCGCTTGTGGTCCAGGCCAGGATTTCCTCTTGTCCAGACTTCTCCTTAGAGCCCTTCGGTTAACTAGGGGGACAGAACAGCAGGGACCACTCCAAATTCATCAGACTCTCACCCAGTTCTGCTTCCCTGGGCTATGAGACCAGACTTGCAGGGAAAGCTGGAGCCCAGGCCCCAAGGAGCTCTTGGGAAGGCTTTCATCACCTCTAATGATCTAATATCAACAACAGCCTCCTAATAAGTAATCTCCGCCTTACTGTATTTACACTAATTAGTTAATATCCGTAGAGTGCCAATCCCGAGATCAGCACACAGGAGAGCAGTTCATAGCAGAAGGGGAGACAGCCCAAGTCCCCTAGGCCATCACCCTCCTGGCGTGTGAAGAGGGGCTGCAGGCTCCCACAAGCATCCTGGTGGGGCGATTTCTTGGAGGAGGGAGATGAGCCCTGATGACAGCTTGCTGCGGGTGCCCCCATCCCTGTCCTGTGTTTAGGTCGTGCCTCTGGGACACTCCGAGTGCTGCAGTCACTGTAGGAGCTCCTGCCGACTCCACCTTTGCCCTCTCCACCCAGTCCCGTTTTCAGGCCGTGTAGGGGGAACCTGGGCTCCCTGAGATCAGGGCCAAGTCCTGCCCCGGAGATGCCCCAGTCAGGGGCCTGGAAACTGGGTGGTGACTGTGGGCTGTACTTCTCCGAGCTCAGTAGATGTAGATGGACTGGTGTCCCTGTGGGTGGTTAGAGGGATATCTGTACCTTGTAGGCCTGAAACTCCTGGAGAGGCATTGGTCTGGGAGTCCACCTGCCCTTGAGGGTAGGGGCAGATGGAACTGTGAGCTGGGGAAAGAAGGGGGAGCTTAAATTGTGGCCACCCTCAGGGAGAAAGAAACAAGATGCCCTTTTGGAAAGGCTGCAGAGATCCTTCAGTTATTTTTTAAAACTAGTTGTGTTGAGATATAATCCATATACTATGTGTTATGGGCCGAATTGAACTGCGTCCTTCAAAAATTCCTCATGTTGAAGCCCTATGCCCCAGAGTTACCTCAGAATGTGACTGTATCAGCAGGTAGGGCCTTCAACCTCCAGAGCTGTAAGAAATAAATTTAAGTCCTTTAAAAAATATTTTGGCTCAGGGTCTTGCTAGTCTGTCCATTCTGGGCTCAATGTATGGTCCCTCCCACCTCAGCCTCTCAGGAAACTGAGATAAATGAGTGTTTCTTATGTACTGTCCAGTCTCAGTTCATTATAGCAGCACACATGGGCTAACATAGGGCCACTCAGAATAAATTCATTTTCCTTGTAGCAGCACAAATTCTGAAAGAAAAGCTTTGTCCCTCTTGAGCTTGTTTTTTTTGGTCCTAGATGTTTTTCAGAAGCCTGATCTCGAGTTCCCTTACCTTCCTGGTTAGTGTGCATTGATGTGATTTAGTCTCTGCTCTCTAGTCTCCCAACCTCAGAACTCAGGCCAAGGGGTGTCAGATGGGGTGAAGACCCTGAAAGCCAATGGCGTGACTCAGTCTGTGTCCAAAGGCCTGAAAACCAGGGAGCCCAGGGTGTGCGTCCCAGGCAGAGAGCCTGGGAACAGGCATTCTGCAGGCAGGGGCCAGCGTGCTGGTATACGTGCTGGCATTTGAGGGATCCAGGAGCTTTGGTGTCTTCTGGTGTCAAGGGCAGCAGAAGATGGACAACCTTGGCTCAAGTGGGGAGAGGAATGTGCCCTCCTACCACCCCTCTGCTCCATCTGCCTCAGTGGAACCAGCGCTTTACCTGATGTATTGGTCACTTTCCACAGTGCTGGGACATAATACCTGACGTGAGAGTTTCTGTTTGCTCACACAGGAAGCCGAGGTGCAGCTGGTTGGTTGCAGGATGCTGTGTGGTCTTCCTTTGTCTACAGAAATCGACTGTCTCAGGCTGCTGATGCAGTCTGGGGTGCTGGTTAATCTCAGGTGTTAACTTGCCTGAGTTCATGGATGCCAGACATTACTTGTGGGTGTTTCCAGAAGAGACTGGCGTCTGAATCAGTAGACCGAGTATGCCAGTTAGGGCAGAGGGTCAACTTGACTGGCTTTGGGTGCCACCAGGCAGGGTGGTGACAGTGTGAACTTGGGCACTATTTCTAGTCCCTTGCCCCTTGCTGTCTGGTGTTCTTTCTCTACTCTGCTTCCCAGTTGCCAAGAGCTAACTATCTTTGCTCCACCATGCCCCCACCATGCCTTTCCTGCTTTGCCATGACACTCTTGCCTTGAAGCCAGCTGACCATGGACTGACTCCCCTGAAACAATGAGCTAAATTAAACTTCTCCTTCTTCAAGTCTGGCACCCACCACCAGCCCAGGCAAATTGACACAGAAACTTAGACTCTAAGCTGCATCCTCTCCCAGCAGGACATTAGCAGAGGCACACGATGCCTTTGTGTGAGTGGGAAGGAGGAGGAGATTGTGACATCACTTCTCCCCTGTTTTATTTTGCACTTCCTGGAATGCAGAGCGCGGCACCAGTACCTGCCTCTGAATACAGTCGGCACATGGGATCTGCCTCTGTAGATTCAACCAATGGTGGAGAGAAGATGTGTGGGGAAGAAATGCCCACAACAATAAAAAAGAATAATGTGACAATGAGAATGATACAGATAAAAAAATCAGTATAATAACTAGTTGCATAGCATTGCACTATATTAGTATACAACGAATCATCTGGGGATGATTTAAAGTGTACAGGAGGAAGGTTTTTTTTGTTTTTTTGTTTTCTTTTTTCTTTTGGTATTAGGGATTGAACCCAGGGCCTTTGCACGGACCTCCAGCTCTTTTCACCTTTTTATTTTGAGGCAAGGTCTTGCTAAATTGCCCAGGCTGGAACTTGCAATCTCCCTGCCTCAGCCTCCCAGAGCACTGGGATTATAGGTGTGTGCCATCGTGTCTGACTGTATATACCATTTTATATAAGGATTTGAAGCACCTGAAGATTTTGATATTTTGGGGGGAGCTGGAACTAGACACCCCTGGCTACCAGGTTATGTTCTCCAGGTGAAAGGTAGCTAGCTTGGGTTTGGAATAAGAGCTGCTTTGGGGGGTTACTTCTGGGGCCTGCACTCACAGCCCAGGGGAAGAAACTCAGGCATGGGAAGTTCACTGTGCCCAGAGATGGAGAGCCCTGCAGGGCCGGTCTGTGGCTGTTGGTGCCTGGCACACATGCCCTCCCATCCCCTACCTAGGTAGAGCCGCATGGCCTCACCCACCTCATCTCTTCCTTGAATTTCCCCAGAGGTGTTGGGAGGTGATGACTTTCCTTTGTCCTCTCAGTGTGTGAGGGCACCATCCTGTCAGGTGCCAACTATACCCTCCAGCAGAGGCTGGAGCGAGAGATTCAGCCTGTCTGGGCAGGCAGCTGGCAGCTGGCAGCTAGCAGCTGGAGGAACTGTGCTGGGCCCGGGAGGGTAGGAGCTCCAGCGTTGGTACCCGGCCTCCTGAGGAGGGAGAAGGGCCATCTCCAGACCTGCTTTCGCCCCTAGAGAGTGAATGTGAAACACTCAGACATGGGATATGGATTTTCCAGGGAGGGGAAGGGTCCCTGAGAAAAGGGTGCATTCCAAGGCTGGGCCTGCACAGGCTTACTGATTGGCCCCAGCCTGGTGTGCCGAGGGGCGACAGGGACCTGGGGAGCAGGCGGCCTTGGGCTTCTGTCCCCTCTCACAGACCATCCAGATCGGTCCTGCCCTGTCTCGCTCTGATCCAGACATCCAGGGGGCCTCCCACTCTGGAGCGGAGAAGCTGAGGCCTCCTCAGCCTGGGACTGGGAAGGACTTTGGCACAATGTCAGGGGCCGGCCCGGCATGGCCAGGGAGGTCTGATGAAGAGAACAACAATCCCCAAGGGGTGGGTGCTGTTCCCATTTTAATCTTTCCCTTTTGGCAGAAACTAACTTTTCTGTAAAAACAATGAAAAATCAGGGTGGAGTTTCCACCTCCAGCTGCTCAGCACCCCCAGGAGGAGTTCTGCAGCTGAGAGCTCTGGAGGAGGGTGCTCCAGCCACCCAGGGACCAGCCGGGTCACTGCTTGCCCATATCCTTGCTGTCCTGAGGCCCTGCTGGCCGTGCAGATGGCCACACTGTGGCCTAGACCTCAGGGTTCACTGCTACCCCCACAGGGCTGGCCAGGCTGAGCCTCAGTTCTGCGGACTACGGAGAGCAGGCTGGAGTTTGTGGGGCCCAGCAGGGAGGGAGGTGTCTGTTAGCAGGTCCGTCTCACCCAACTCTTCATGTCAACTATCTGTCCTGCATGGCTCCTTGCTGGCCACATCCCGGAGACTCGGCTTCCATTCTGGGTCGCTTGCTGGGCTTCCTGGCTTCCCTTCGTGTTTTACACTGCTGCTCTTACCCCGCAGTTCACACAACTTGGTCAAAAGTCTTGCCTCTGTGTTGGTTGGCAGCATCTGGCAGATCTCAGAGTCAAATTGTGGAGGGAAAGAACCTCTAAGAACTGAGGTCCCCAGAGCAGCTTGGGGTACAGAACCCCAGGCCCTGGGCCTTGGGTGGAACAGACTCAGCAAGGAAACTGGGGGAGGACTAGGGCAGGTGAGGTTTGGGAGCCCAGAACTGCCTAGGAAGAGGGTGCCCCCCAGAGGTCACTGTGGGGGTGGCCCCCGTCAACCCCGACCAGTCGGCAGTTCCTTTGTGCCCTGAGGCTGGGCCTGCCAGCCTCCTCCTCTGTGTTTTTGTATGCAGTGGCATGCGCAGTGAGGCTCTCTTCGAGGATGGGGCACAGGGGTGATTCCTCCATGTGGCAGATGGGGCACTCCGGCCCACACCAGGATGGAATCCCTGAGAGGGATTCGAGGCTCGGCTGGGGTGAAAGGCCTCAAGAGCCCAAGGGCAGGCTTGACATTGTGCAGGTGGCAAAACTGAGGAACAAGAAAGAAACTTGCCCAGGGCCACTCTCTGATTCACAACTGAGGACTGGAATTCTGGTCCAGGGCTCTTGGCCCTTGGAGCTGCCTTTCCCACTCAGCATGCCAACAAGGGCCAGGTGGTCAGCAAGGGGAGATGGAGAAACACCTATGTTCATACATGTGAGCGCGCGCGCGCACACACACACACACACACACACACACACACACAGGCCAGTCCTGTTGTCAGCAGAGCCGACTTAGAGAGGTGGGTGGAGGGCACAAGCCCCCTGAGGCTGTGGGTCCCTGGGGACTGGGGAGGACACCCACTAAGAGCTGGGAGGCCCCAGAAGCCGATGCTCCCACAGATGCTGTTCTCCGTGTCCATGAGGGGAAGATTTCAATTAAAATAATTACAGATACAACAACACAAGAATCACAGAAGAGCACGAGGAAAAGGGAGTTCAGTTAAATGCAAATGTATTCAAAATGATATTATGAACTCCACTCACCCCCTATGAAATTACCCATTAACCATTACTTGCTAATTATCCACCTTTTCATTGTTTTAGAGAGGAAGAGATTCATTCTCACTAGAACTGAATAGATACCCGGAAAATCATGCCACACGCTTTGCAGCAGACCAGAACACCCCCTACCCTTTGATTAAATCACCGGGATGTTGAAATGGTTCTGCAGAGCTGAGAGCTTTGCCATAAAACAAACAAACAAACACAAACAAATAGAAAGGAGTCTTGGTTTCCACAGGAAGGACTTTATCTTTCTAGATAGGATAAATTGCTATGGCCCCAGGCCCTTGTTGGGATTCTGCCTCTGAGCAGCCGCACAGGGGCCTTGTGAGTGATTGGTGTCTTATTTGCATTATTAATTAATTTCTCTTATTTTCCTTCATGGTAGTAGGGGCTCTGATCTCTTCCTCTGCTCCAAGCTGCTCTTTGCACCAGCTCCTCAATGGGCTGTGGCTGTGACTATCAAGACGGGACAGGTGCTCTGCAGTGGAGCCCCTGGGAAACGGCCTAGGTGACAGGTGGGGCAGAAGGGCAGCAGCTGGGGGCGGGGCACTGTCTGCACGTATGTCCAGGCCACTCCATCCAGGACTGTCCGGCTGTCAGAATCAGCTCCGCTTGCAGGAAGTGAATTTTCCACTGTTTGTTGTTCCAACCTAGTCTTTGGACTCCACTGTGTGTCAGGCAACAGCACAGAGATCCTTCAAGGCGAATGCTCCAGACGGGGGTGGAAATGGTGTGGTCGGTCTCTCCCCCCACAGCACCAGGGGCCTAGGCACTGTCTGTGTGGCACTCCTGGCTCTTCTCCCCAGCAGTTCTGGGGGAGGGGATGTCTCCTACTCAGTCCTGGAGGTAGAGTTATGCAAGCCCACACAGCTGCACCGGCTGGCTTTCATCCCCAGGTCTATGGAGCTCATGATTTTACCCCTCCAGGACGCTCCCTGAGGTGACCATGACATGGCCTGGAGAACTGGGGTTGGCACGGGGGAGGATTCTCTGGGGCTCTGGGTATGTGGCAGCCAGAAAACCAAGAGGCCTCCCCCCGCAGATGCTAACCTTGAAAAGTCCTGAGTTAGGAGCATGGCCCTGAGAGGAATGGGATTCAGGTGGGGACCATCCCAGATGTCCTGTGGATTTAGGAATCCCTGGATTATTGGTCCTTTGGTACTGACGCAGTGGGCTGGAGAGGGGGGCTGCTCTATGGAACTCTATTCAGATGTTCCCCAGGCACTGACCACTGACCCTGGAGAAGTGACCCCAGCCCCCTCCTTTGTAGCCTTTATGCTTACACCCACCCAGGCTTGGCTCTGTCCTTCCCTGCCAGCCTGGCTGATCCGACCCACTTGCAGACGTGCTTCCTGGCTCCTACACACCTGGCTGAGCCCTCCATGCTGGGTTACTCCTCTTTGCTCTCCAATGGCTGGGACAGCCCTGCTCGGTTTTGGCCACAGGTCTGCCTGCCAGACCCTTTCCAGGTGCCCTGTACCCTTGCAGATGAACACTGACCACCAGAGAGCACTTAAATGCCTTAGAGATGGCATTTAAAAAGGTGAGTCCACACTTTCGTTCGTTCATTCATGCACACACTGGCTTCACCTAGGTGCCTGGCACAAACGCAAGGAGCACGAGCTGGGCTGGCACCTCTGAGGGGCTCTGAGCCTTGGCGGAAAGTTCTCCATGCAGTCACTTTACTCACTGCTGTGCTGGTGACAGAAAGCCACCTCTGGCGGAGGGTCTGCTCTGTCAAGGGAAGTCATTTCCCCAGACTTCTCCAAAGCACAGCAAGGCAGAAGGGACACCCAACCATCCCATCCTAGGTGCCAGGGCTTGGCTGGCAAAGACTGCCAGTGCATCGTCAACAGGGCGGGAAGGCCGGGAAAGCTGGCCTCTGTCCCTAAGGAGACACATCAAACTGGCAGCCAGGGGGTAGCACACCTACACCAGGACTAAGGCCCCAGCACCACAAGCCAGGAGACTATGGTGGGGTCCCAAGACTAGGAAAGCTCACCGCGGTGGGCTCTGCATAGGGGGCGCCCATGAGGACACTTAGAGACCCACGAGTGCTCAGGAGTGAGGCAGGCACCGTTATGTTCAAATCCCTGGGCACTGATTTTCAGCTGGGTGGCCGCAGGCCAGGTACTGAACTTCTCCAAGCCTCAGTTTCCACTTCTGTAAAATAACCCTGTGCTCCCTGGGTCTGTGCAAGGGTTCACTGAGGCTGGTGTGAAGGATGTGCACAGGCGGCTGGCCGTGTGCAAGGATGAGCGCTGGGAGTTAGTGGGAGAGCAAACCATCTTGTTTCTTCTTCCTGGCCCAGGAGAGCTCCTGCATGGTCCCTGACTTCCTGACATCCCCGTGGATACCAAGAGCAGCCAGGGACAGGAGACCACTGGGGAGCAGGGGCAGGTGAGTTTGCCCAGGTGTGGTGGAGGAAAGATTTCCTGGCCAGGCCCAACTGTCCCGCAGTTCTTAAAGGAGAAATCAGTAGGGTGAGATTGAAGTGCCCCTCCCAAGGTGGGGGCCAGGTGAGCCCTCGAGCTCCCTCCCCTGATGTTCCTGGAGGGGGTTATGCACGTGGGGGTAGGGGGCCAGGGGCCCTAGAGGCACTGCTGTTCTCCAGCCAGCTTGCTGTGTTCCACAAGGCTGCATTTATAACTTTGGTTTCTTGTATGAAAATGCATTTTAACTGTGCTCTGCCTGGCACAGCTGGGTGGGCCGTGCAATGGGGACAGCCTGGCAAGGTGGTCTTCACTCTGGAGGGTGCCGTGTGGTCCCTCGGCCCGGCACAGTGGGCTCTGGACACAACACATTTTTCTGAGGCAACCAGGGCTCATCGTCAGTGGTGGCTTCAGGATGACCCAGGCCTGGACTCTGGGCCCTAAGCTCTCACATCAGCAATTTTGCCTGTGAACTTGGCAGGCTTGAGAGCTGCCTAGGGGATTGGTAAAGCACACTTCTGAGTCTGGCTGGATGGGTCATTGAGGTGTGCCTGTTGGGACTCTCTGTGGTCCCTGACCCTTTTCTTTTGGGTGCTTTTCCTCTGTGTCCTGTATCTTTGGCTGCCAGGACATAAGCAGCTTTGCTCTGCCACATCCTTCCATGGTGTCCCTGCCTTGGAGTCAGTAGACCATGGACCGAACCCTCCGAAATCGTTAGCCAAATTAAATCTCTTTCAAATTGTGGGTGTCAGATATTTTGTCCCAGTCATAGTAAAGCTGACTAATATAGACCTGGTGAGGTGGATTTTATTTTGCAAAAGAGGAAACTGATGCTAGCATGGTGATGCACAACTGTAATCCCAGCACTCTGGGAGGCTGAGGGGATCACAAGTTCTAGCCTAGCCTGGGCAACTTAGCATCTCAGTAAGATGTTGTTTCAAAATTAAACAATGAAAAAAGACTGGAGATGTAACTCAGTGCAAAGATGCTGAGTTTAATCCCCAGTACCATAAAAAAGAGAGGAAGCTGAGGTTCAGTCACTTGGCTAAGGCCACACAGCTAAGATTCATCTGCACAGGAATTGCACTCTAGCAGTCTGGCTCACAGCGTGCCTCCTGGATGCTAGATGTGTCCTGTCCCCTCAGCAGGAGCCAGCCCGACCTTGTCCTGCCCTCCTCCTCTGCTCCTCATCCTGGGTGAAGCGGCCTCCAGACCCCATCTCTTAGACAGAGATGGGGGAGCCTCACCCCTCTCCCGGCCAGGCCCGAGGCAGTCCTCACCCGCACTCCGTTGTTTCTGCCTGATGCCAGCTCTGGTTCAGCTCCCTCACTTCCTGCCTGGGCGGGGCCCCAGCCTCCTGGCTGATCTCTGGCCTCCTTCCTGCTCTCCATCCTGCCCGCTCTGGCTACCTGCCAGTCTGGTGATACACAGGCCCAAAGCCAGACCCGAAGGGTGTGCTTGACTTCCAACCCCACGATCCTGCCCCTGGCTGTTGCCAGCACTCAGCAACCTGTTGTCCTCACAATGTGCTTCACAGTTCCATGACTCCACTCCTTACTCATGTTTCCTCTGCCCAGAGCTCCCGCCCTCACCCTTGTCTGCTTGGCAAGCTCTTATTCACACATCAAAACCCTGCCTCCGATTATCTTCCTGCATTCTTTCCTCTCTTGGGCTACTTCTAATGGATCTGAACATGTGGTGCCATTGTCCTTGTCACTGGCCGATACAGATCTGCTCACCTACTGCTCTTTGGACTCCAAGTTCCCATGGAAGCTACTAGAAGCTTGTCTGCATTCCCAGTGTCCAGCCGAGACTGGCTGTCAGAGATGCTGGTCAGGTGGAACTGGATGAACTTGGTCCTGACCCCCTCTGCCATCTTTAGGAGGCTCCTACTTGTCCGTGGACTTGCAAACCCCTGCAAGTCCATCGTTGGTTTGCTAAGGGGCCTGCCCCTCTCCTGCCACGTCCACACACTCTGCCACCTCTCTTGTGACGCAGGCCATCCTTCTGCTTCTCCACTCACAGATGTGGCTGTGGTGAGGCCGAACACCATGCGGTAGCGTTCGCTCTTGAGAAGAATGTGTTTCAGCCAAGTTGGCTGGTAAGTGATTTTCTGCAAAGGAGAATAATTGGTTGAGTGTTCCCATGGCAACAGAGCCTTTCCTGGAAACCACTGGAGGTAGAGGGAGGCTCTGGCTCTGCTGGGTGCCGCAGGGCCCTGAGTGGGGCCGGTAGAGATGGTGGTGCTGCCCGGAGTCCTGCATCCTCTGTACACTGCCCTGCCTGGTCCTCTCGCTGTTCTCTGCCTGGTTCCCCAGGCCTTGGGAACATTTCCGTGCCACTGCCCTGGAAGAGCTCCTGAGTGCATGCTCGCCTTTCCCAGAGCTTGTCCCTTTGCCTCGTGTGAACAGAAAGTGTGGGTGTTAATAACAGCATTATCCAGGCAGGGCATGCATTCATGATTCACCCAGTGCTCTTGTAGCCACTGCCACAGGATTCTCCAAAAATGGACTGGGAAGGCTCTGCTACTCACAGCCCACTTCCTAGATGGCCACTGAGGCTGGCACTGAGGACGTGACTGGGACCACAAAGAGGTCCAAACACTCTTCAGCGCAGGAGCTGTTTTTACCATCAGGAGGCAGGGAGAGGAGGTGGCCTTCCCTTAACCTTCCTTTCCTAGCCTGGAACCCCAGGTTGCACGTGGTGGGGGGCAGAGTGGGTTTGCTGCTGCCACTTCCTGTGAGCTGCCACGGCACCCTCTTCTCTATCCTTGTCTGGAATCACAGTGGAGGGATGGAGAAGGATAAAGCCCCTGCTTCTCATGGCTGGGTCCTTGGAACAGGAAAAGCGCCAGAATCTACTGGGTGAGAGGCTGCGTTGCGTGGGTGTATAAATGTAGATGAGTGTGCATGTCAGTGTAGGAGTGTTAGGTAGAGCCTGTGTTTGCGTGTGAATGCAGGAGCGTGTGTCTTTGTGTATGAATGTATGTGTACGTGTGTGTGTGCATGTGCCTGTGAAGGTATGCATGCACACCTCTGTCAGCGCGTGAGACTGGGGTGGAAATATGTGTGAGTGTATGCATGTGTGTGTCAGCATATGAGAGCATGTGTGTGCATATGTATGTGAGCGCAAAGCACGGCTGTCTCTGTGGTAATGGGTGTGTGCCAAGGCCCCCCAGCCCCTTCCCTGAACTCCGTGGCCAGCCCTAGTGGGTATGGAGTGAGGTGGGGGCAGCAGGCCATGAGCTTTAATAGCAGCCGGGCTCAGCCCTCCCTTCCTTCCTGAAGCTCCAGGAGCAGAGGCCACACCATTCCTTGAGTCAGCGTGGGATGGGGACTCATGCCTACCAACTCTCACCACAACACTTCTTCCAGGCCTCTGAGTCTTGCAGCTGTGGTCCCAGATACTCAGGGCAGACACAAGCCTCCTTCCTACACGGCGATCCATCGGATTCATGGCCTATGGAGATACACAACAAAAAAGCTGTTTTGTACTCCTCGGTTTGGGCTGCTTTGGTATATCGCAAGGCATGGGATCAGAACAGTCCCCGCATCTGTGTCTCAGAAGGAGCTCCCCTTTCTGAACTCCTGCCGCATATACTTTAGTGCCTGCCTTTTCTCAAGTTCGGAAGTACATGGAACCATCCACAGGTGCATTAGACCAACATGTTCCAAGCCAAAGTCATCATTGTCCTACCCACATTTAAAACCCTGTTGATAACCTTGATAAAATTCAACCAAGGAAGGCCAGTGACTTCCTGAGAGGACGGCTTCTGCTCCCAGAGAGCAGGGGTAGAGTAGAGGGATATCTGCTGGGGACTGGGTGACAAAGTGTTTGGCTGTGAACAAAAAGCAAAGACCTGGTCCATAGGTGGATGAAGTCAAGACCTTGGTTTTGGGGTGCTGCCCTTCACCAGTGGATTCACTACCTGCTGGTCACTGGTCCTGAGCATCTTCTTCCTCCCTGCAAGGCAGCGGGCCCTGTGATGTGCTTTCTAGTGAGACTCGAAAGGCATGGTGTTTGCCCCTTCCCGAGCTGCCCGCACCAGATATCACCAACACTGGAGGAGCAAGGCTGAGTCGTGCTCTAGATGTCACCGATCTGCCTGGCGCTCCTTTCACGAATGGGAACAAACCTGTGCTGTCTCCCTTCCATTGTTTATTTTCTGCTCTTCTGTGATGTTATGAGAAGCATATTTTGATTAAAAAAAAATCAAGCCTGACGATCATTTGCATAAAAGTAGCCCGCTATGCGTCTCAGTAGCTGTGCCTAGGCAGAACAGTAGATGAAGGGCAAGATGTGTGCATGCGTGCAAAAGTGTCAGACTGGGATTTTTGCCCATATAATGAACTGTCTAACAAGATTTTTGTATTTTCAACCTGAGCATCACAGGGGGTGAAATACACCCACACCACTCTTCTGTTATGAAAACATGTATTTTATCATAATGGAATGTGGGTGTGCCTCACAGTAGCTGCACCTGGGGAAAGCAAAAACCCATCTGTGCATTCACCCACTTGGCAGATGGCAAGGTGTGTACAGGAGCTCCAAAGCAGCAACAGGTGAGTTTTACCCATGAAACGCTCTTTGCTACATTTCTCCTGCATTTAAGATTTGTTTAAAAAAAAAGTTTTCTTTTGTTTCTTCTGGTAGAAGTAGCCCAGCTCAGTACAAAGACATATGAAAAACCAGATTTGCAAGTTTTTGAGGAGGTCAAAAGTGAATCAGCAGGTTTTTTTCATGCATGGATGATGAAGATGCTAATCACTTTGGCCATGTGAGCCAAAGTTCCCTTGACCGGCAAATGGAGCAAGAATCAACTGAGACAGACACAGGGAATGCAGACCTCTTTGATTCAGATAATGAAAAAAATAGCAAGGCGGGTGCATATTTGACCAGTTGAAATGCTACAAAATGGCCTCACAACCAAATGGAATGATCCATTGTTAGAACTAGGTCCAAATACATAGTGAGCGTCTTGGCAGGGGTGAAACCTATTGGCCAGAGCGATGCCAGTGTTGCCATCCAGTGTTGGAAACTGTAACAGATGAAATGCTACAAGATGTGAAATACACAAAGATTGAAATACAAGTTAAATGTTCTGTATGCACCAATAGCTGTATTCAAAAATGTATTTATTATTGACTCTTTACTCGCTGAACTGAAAGCATCCATAGCTCTGCTGTACTTAGAGATTTCTCATAGTAATTGCAGGAATGTAAAAGACTTATGGAAAAGCAATGGGTCAAAATATGGCATATTCCCTTGTAGATGTGAACTTATTATGCTTTCAATTTAGAAATTTATCCTGGAATTTAGCCACCATGTTCTTATTTGTGTAGTAATAAACTGAATGATTTTTGTGAATAGACTTGTTGATCCCATCTCCCAAACAAATTCAAGTGTGACATTCAACAATAGTTTTACCAGTTTCCAATTGATGTTATACTTGCTAACATCACAAGTTGACCGACATAGGAACTGTATGCAGGAATAAAGCAGAAATTGCAAATGAAGTGTTGCAATTTCAAAACAGAGAATTGTGTATTACAATCTTTGGATTTCAGAAAGATTTACATTGGCCTCGTATAGGGCAAAGAAAAACAAACTGGCACTGCTGATGTCAACATTGCATCATGGTGGAAATATTGAAAGGGAAACCTGGACAAAATAAAAACTTTCCTCAACAAAACCAGGGGTGGAGTAGGTGTTGTTGATGAATTATGCAGCAACTATGATGTCACTTGAAACACAATGCATTGGTTCATGGTTGTGTTTTACTCAATCCTAAACATGTGTGGCATAAATAATTTGATTGTTTACAAAGAAAATAACAAGGCCAAAAACTGCAGGGAAATTTTCTTAGAAGATTGGTACTGGAACTCATAAGAGATCATTTATAGCAGAGGAAAAACAAAATGGTTTTGTCCAGCAAAATACATTAAAAAAAATTGTGGACACCCTGGTGAGCTGACAGGTGCAGCATCACAAAGACCTACTACAACAACAGGAAAACCCAAAAGATGTCAACTGTGCTCTACAAGAAAGGACAGGAGCTGGGGATTTGGCTCAGTGGTTCCGCTGACTGCTTCACAAGCACAAGGGCCTGAGTTCAATCCCAGTACCAAAAAAAAAAAAAAAAAAAAAAAAAAATGGACAGGGAAACAAAACATACATGCTATCAGTGTAAGAGATATTTGTGTAAGGAGCATACACTTTTTATGTGAAGACTCCCTTAGGTGTGACAGATTGAAGCAAAGTTTATTTCTGTGGTAGATTTTTACATTGTAGTTCACATAGGTTTTTATTTCTAATGTTATCTTTTAGGTTTATAAGCAAGTACACAGCTCGTGTGAAAATGTTGATGTCTATTTTAAGCACTCATTACACATTTGATATTTTATTTCCCTGATAAGTGCTCATTTTGTAGCATAGTAGGAAGCTCCTCACAAAACAGGAAGAGAAAAGAGGTGACAAGTATGGCCTGCCACATAGGAAAGCTAAGCACTTATGCTGTCAGTGCATTTGAGATGTGCGCATGGAACATGCTTTATCTCTGCATACAGTTCCTATGTAGGTCAACTTGTGCTCTGTTAGCAAGTATAACATCCATCGGAAACTGGTAAAACTATTGTCTTGTGTGAAGACTGCCTTGGGTGTGACAGTTGGAGCAAAGATTATTTTTGTTGCAGTTCTATTGGTATTTTCATTGTAGTTCATATATGAATTATCTCGATACTATCTTTTAGGTTTTGTAAGCAAGTACACAACTGATGTGAAAATGTTGATGTTTATTCTAAATGCACTATGCATATTAAGAGTTTTGTACCTTATTTTGTAGATATTTTATGTTCCTGTAACTACACATTGCATACATAATAAGAACCTGCTCACAAAGCAGCGAGACCAGTGAGATGTCAAGTTTGTCTTACAAAGGGAAGCAAGACACATGTGCTGTCAGTGTAAGCGATACACGTGTATGGAATGTTCTATTGTCATGTGTGAAGACTGCCTTAGGTGTGATAATTGAAGTAAAGATTATTTTTTTAATAGAGGGCTCTCAGTATTTTCATTGTAGTTCACAGAGGAATTTATTTCTGTCATTATTTTTTAGACTTTGTACACCAAAAAATGGTCGATGTTGAAAGTTTTGATGCTTTTTTTGTGAACACTTAATCAATATTTAAAATTCAATACTTAACTTTTTGATACCTTTTCCTGTTTTTTTATATAATAAAATTATATAAAATTTAAAAAAATGATTCATCAATAGAAGTATTCTAAATAATAAATGTGGCAGACCCATGTTTCTGTGCCTTTATGACAAAATTTACATTTTGCCCCTTGAGTTTAAACCATCTCCAGATTGCTTGACATTATCTATAGCATAATGTAAATGTAATGGAAAGTTTTGTTATATGGACTATTCAGGAAAAGTCACCAGTGTTCAGTATAGACACAATTTTTTTCCCTCAAATATTTTGTTTGGTACAGGGGATTGAACTCAGGACTTTGTGCTTGCGAAACAGGTGGTGGAACCACTGATCTAAATCCCCGGCTCTCTTCAAATATTTTGGATCTGAGGCTGGTGGCACCTGAGAATACAGAACTTGTGACCATGGAGGACCCACTGCTTTCTCAGTTGTGGGGTCATGCAGAGTTAAAACATTTTAGGGCCAGGGATTTAACTCAGTGGTGCCCCCGCCTGCCTTGCAAGTGCAAGGACCCGAGCTCGATCCCTGGTACAAAAACAAAACACAACAAAGCTTTTCATTCTTTATCTTTTTCTAAATTTTAAAAAAATAATTATATAGTTGATTTTTGTATTTAGAAAAATATAGATTTAAATAAAGATATCATACAGAGAGAGAGAGAGAGAGAGAGAGAGAGAGAGAGAGAGAGAGTCGCTGCTTAGAGAAAAGCTGGAAATCCAGGCACTTGAATTCTTTCATCTGAGGTTTCTCTGTGCTTAAAAAAAAAAAAAACAACAACCTTATGTACCACGTACTGTGTGTTTGGCCCTGAACAGTCCCTCTGACTCTCAGATTTGTCTTACAGTATTGTACCTCAGCTTCCATTTTGCATGTGAATCGTTTGTTAAAATTGAACATTTAGAAAATCACACATTATGCACGAGCAGAATCCTCACTGCCGAGTGTGCCAGTGTCTCCCCACCAGCGTGGGCTTCAGTTTCTCAACATCACCGGTGCACCAAAGCACACACCATCCTGATTTGCACCACCAAAAGTTACTTGCTTTAAAAACAATTCCAGAAATGGAAACTCACAGCCTATCTTCTTCTGTTTCCATTTCTTCCTTTACTGGCCAAAGCCAAGGCATGGCAGGGCCAGCATCAGTCTAGGAAAGGGTAACTAAGGACATAGGTACAGGCAGACATGAACTAATTGGGTGCCATGCTTGGGATAATCCATCCCAGGGGTGCAAGAAGATGAACCTGTTTCGGCGGCAGTAAAAGAAAATATAATCCCAACTCTCTGACACTGTAATTAAAATGTTGCTTTTGCCCTCTGGGAGGCCGAGGCAGGAGGATCACAAGTTCCAGCCTAGCCCGGGCAATCTAGCCAGACTCGTCTCAATAAAAGTAACAAAAGCAGGAATATAGCTCAGTGTGAAGGTCCCTGGTTCAATCCTCAGTACTGGGGGTGGGGGAATGCTGCATTTGACTTCCAAGTTCAAAGAGGAGTAGTCGCTTTAGAACTGACCTTCTGCCAAGATTCAGCCCTCTCTGCCTCACAGGTATAATAACTCCAGGCTTTTCTCTACCCAGAACCCTGGTCTTTGCTGCAGGATAGTCAGCTGCCAGGGCTGCCCAGAGGTGGGTGGATGCAGCTGTGCCAGGCACTCATGACAACCGTTGTGCTTTGAGGTCATAATTTCTGAGGTAATTGACTTCACTCCTTGACGTCACTTCCCCCACGTCTTCCTGCCATTGCTCTGGTCAGCAGTGGGGTTACTGGTGCACGGTCTTGTGTCTCCTCCCAGGCTGCCGGGGCAGATTCTCCTTACCTGCCCTGGAATAAAGTGAGTCATCAGAGCCACCAGAAGTGGCGGTGTACACTTGCAAGTCTAAGCACTCTGGGAGGCTGAGGTGGGAGAACTGCAAGGGACTTAGGGACCCTGTTTCAAAATAAAAAATAAAAAGGAAGGTAAGTACCTCAGTATGAAAGCCTTGGGTCCAGTTCTCAGTAACACACACACACACACACACACACACACACACACACACACACCAGGGCCCAGGGCCACTTCATCACAAGGCCTGGCTGCCAAGAACATTCCCTTCCCTGCAGGGCTTTCCCTTCTCCAGCTGCTCGGGTGTGGGAGAATCACAATGCTGGTCCTCAGCCACTGTACTAGACTCAGGGCTGAGGCATCCAGGAGGGAGAGGGCTGGAGGCCACATGTGGGATGGAGACAGAGTGGGCGTGGGTCCCACATCTGGACAGCAGAATAAGGTCCTGCCCGGCCAGACAGTCTCTGAATTGGGGAGAGCGAACCCAGTGATAATGCTGACCCTCGTCCATCCACAAAGACACCAATGGAGCCAGCCTGTTCCCATCCATACCTGGGGATGTAGCTCAGAACAGAGAGTTCAATGCCTAGTACCACAAAAAGCCAAAATCAAACAAGCAAACAAAAAGAACCC